TTCATTTTCATTTTCATTTTCCAAATCTCTGACTGGGCGGCTAGACAGGGAGAGGAGCTTCGGTGGGTGGCTGTGGCTGGTTCTGGTCGAGTGGGGCGTCCTTCTCGCCGAGCTCGTTCTTCTTCCTCCTCAGACTCGGCCAGCCGCCCATCTCGGGATCCCCGGTGAACGCCGTCTTCGTTTGGACCCGAAAGTAGAGAGTGAGACGTGCGCGTCAAGGAGGAGGGCAAGACAAGAAGAGGAGAGGGCGTACAATGCAGAGGTAGACGCCCATGAAGATGGGCACGCCCAGTAGCATGAGGCCCCACAAGGGGGCGAAGAAGAAAGTGATAGCCGCCGCCGCCGAGCACGAGACCACAAGAATGGTCGCCAGGACCAGTCGCTTCAACAGGCACACCATCATCGCTTTGGGCGGTTCTTTGTTTGTTTGGTGGTGGTGGTTGGTGGTGGTGGTGTGGTTGGGCTCGAGGTGGGTGTGCTGGGGGTTGGAGAGGGGTGAGAATGAAGAAGAGGCCAAAACTCGTGATCTGCTGGCAGACCTAGGCACGCCTAGGTAAGCACGGACCAATGCCATGGCAGTGGATGTGCGGATTAGGCCAGAGTGGTCCAACTGCTGCAGGTGACAGCCTCCTAAAAACGAGTGTGGGCGGGTCTGGGGGAGGTGCCGGTTCAAAGCGGTTGGGCCATCTGCGCTCGAATGAAGTTCCAGGTACGTGCGGGAGGGTAGCCAACGGGTTCGCCTGACTAAGTCCGGGCGTGACAGTGTTGGCAACCGCGCTCCACTCAAGAGGCATCGTGCTCAGCAAGCACTGGCCAATGGCGTAAAGCCGAACTAACCATTTTTTCTTTCCATTTCTTAACATTTCTCTTCTTCTTCAAAGACGAAGATGGAGGCAGAGCAGCATGGAGCCAGAGAAGGCCACCAGCAAGCCTCTGCTGGACACGACGATGATACTCCTGGACAAAGCTCAGGTGACTTCCTGTCGCTCCTCAAATCTTTTCATCATTTTATTCGATTTCTTTTTTTAACCATGTTCTTTAAATCCAAAATCAACTGTAGGCCAGGCCAAGCAAAATCGAGGGCACGAAACGACGTCAGGTGACCTCGGCCACGACCGACGCGTTGGGGACCACGAGGATCCGACGTCTCTAACTGCATTATCTTCATCTTCATCTTTTACCTCTACGCCGCCATCTTCGCCACAACTGAGCTCCTGGCGATCCGCGGGGGCGAGCGGCGGCGGGCGGCTGTTCCCCGTGGTGCAGTACCTGCGCGAGGAACTCGGGTCGGACTACCTCCCGCCCGACCCCACCCTCCTCCTCAAGCAGCGCGAGATACACAACTTCTTCCAGGCACCCATCGGCCTCGAAAAGGTAGTGCTGCCCTGTCCCAGCTGCTCAGTTCTGCACACAGCTCCTGGCACTCATGTCGTGTGTGCGGTGTGTGCGTGTTGTGTGCAATGTGTGCGGTGTGTGCGGTGCAGTTATTGTTTCTGGGGTTCTTTATATGCCTGGACTCGTTCCTGTTCGTCTTTACATTCCTTCCTCCGCGCGTGTTTCTGGGCACGCTGCGCCTCGTCTGGGCTCTCTTCACCGGACGGTATGCCACCATCACCGCCGCGCCGATGACCTCACCACGCGCTCACCTTGTGTGTGTGTGTGTGTGTGTGTGTGTGTGTGTGTGTGTGTGTGGGTCGCAGGCCAGTGAAGGCGACGTCCAAGTACGACCTCATGCGTGGCGCAATTCTGCTCGGGTCGTGCTGGGTGCTGGCGCACATCGACATCAGCATGGCCTACCACTACATCCGCGGCCAGGCCGTCTTCAAACTCTACGTCATCTTCAACCTGCTCGAGGTCCTCTTCTTCTTCTTCTTGTCCTCAAACACCTTCTAGCCGTGCCTCACATGTGCGATGGTGTGTGCGTGTGCGATGGTGTGTGCGTGTGCGGTGTTGTACAGGTGGTGGACAAGTTGTGCTGCGCGTTCGGGCAGGACATATTCGACGCCCTCTTCAGCCGCGTGAATGCGTCGACCCGGGCGTCGTCCACGCTCCACTCCATCTTCTTCCTCTTCCCCCATTTCCTCATCGCCGCCGCCTACAATGGTTCGTGCCACTCTCAGGACCTAAAGACGCATCAAATGCTTACGTGTGTGTGTCGTGTGTGTGTGTGTGTGTGTAGCGCTGCTATTCGCGTGGTGCTGCTCGACAGATGA